CTTTTGGTCAGCAAATGGTTCTTGATGGCCTACTGCCGCTCCCACGCTATAGGTGACGATTGACGAAGTAACGTTCAGGAGATACTATTTACATATTATTGAGATCGGAAAGAATTATCTCTATGATAATTAAGCTCTTTGTAGAGAAAGGAGAATAGTTTACTTGGAGTGGAAGTTTGGTCGAGGCAGACTAATTTCTTACAGTCCCCTCTTTGATGCTCTTGGCCCAGAAGAAGCATCACATCCACTCCCTTACACAGATCACATCTCCCTTCCTGGGCAGGTGCCCAGTGGCGGTGAAGCCCTGGCTGAGGTCGATCCTTATTTATGGCCATCTGAGATTCTTACCCGTCATTGGGTCGACACCTCATGCACACTGGTTACAGCTCCGTTTGATTTTAGCAAAATTATCACAGGGTTTTTTGATTGTTAAAAAAAACAGGATTGTTTAAATTTGGAAAATGTTTCTAGGGTTTGGAAGAGGTAATCAAGAACCATCACAACTAACAGGAGTGCCCAATATTGATCATTGAACTATCTGCAATTTGATGTTTCACCATAGAACACATACAACATAGCATCATGCATTGGCACATAATTAGAAGAATACAAACACAAACGGCAGTTTTAAAAGTTACATCCCAAATCAAACCAGAGTATGCAATGACTAAATCTCCATCATGCATTTGTTTAGTTAAAGCCTTATCCTTCTCATCAAGACCCTGTTGAGCTTTAACAATGTGGTTATCTTTCCTTTGCATTAATGACATCAGCATATCATCCAGTTTTGGTAACTCAAAATCAAATTCAGGAATTGCTTCCACAAAGCCCAATTGTTCATCTGATTTTACTGACATTGCCTGTTGGGTGGTGTTTACATATGGAAAATGATAATTTCCTATAGACCAGGTTGATTCAGGGGTCATACAAAATCATACAAAAAATCATACAAAAGCAATGGCTTCTCGCATGTGTGAACTACTCTGTGCAATTAATGCAGACTTAAACATGAGATTTTGTTTAGTTGCATTGGGCAAACCACTGTAATGGCTAAATATTTCCCACAACCTGGATGCAAATGCTAGAGGATGTTCTCCAATTTCCATTGTCACCTCAGTTATCTTTCTCAAGTTAACCAAATTAGTACCAGCAAGTCTAAGTACAGCTTCTCTCCTTGCAAATTTGTCTGCTCTTTTGTCACAAACTTCCTGTGAGAGAGCACTGGTTAATGAGTGTGGTATGCAAATCATAAGAAGTCTACAAGCATCTTCGTCTGACACACTATAAACCTCCACTACCTTCTCCAGTTTTGACAAAAACTCTACAGGATCCATGTCATCTGGCTCAAAAGAACCCACTGCTGTAATAAGACTTTGAAAGTCCATAAAAGACAGTTGTCTAACAGCTTGGCCATTTTCATTTCTTTGATCAAGAACCCTCTCATTTCCAGTCTGTCTTGTTCACACTGGTGCTATTGGGAATCTCACAGAATAATTTGAGGAATTATGTCGACTAATGGCTTCCTTGCAGTTCTTCTCCTCATATTCAGAATTGGATTGAAGATTTACCAACTGTCTAGCTGTCCCTTCATACAAACATCTAAATGTTTCCATCTCTGTTTCAGACTTTGA